TATCTTATGAGTACTATCAGATTTCAGAATTTCTTAAAATTTCATAAGATCAAAGATTTTCAGAAAATATGCATAAATGGAAGAAAAACATTCTTATTTATATTATATCCACTCACTGAGTTACAAAGCTCATATATTTTGTTAATTTTTCTCTCTTATAAGATAGTAGCTGAGTTGAGCAGCATTGGAGCCTAGTGATCCACCATGTAGAGCCACATTTTGTCTATATTTGTATGACTCCTTTCTTCAATTTGCATTGAACATATTTCTTTTGGGGTACATGGTTTTGTTGTCAGAAAGTTAAAGTTGTATTTCATGTATCCATGTCATGGGCTCATTGCATATTGAGTATTTTGAGATTTTTGATGTAAAATGTTTGTAATTGTCAACTTTCTTGTGTTGTTTTTGAATAGTTTGATTTTTGAGGGGCTGGTGTACCCTGTTTTAAAATATATGTTCTGGTTGGAGGAGATTGATTATTGTTCAAGTGGTTTTGATCCATATTACAGGGGAAACTCTGTCAATTTTTTTTTATAAAAGTGTATCACAGTTAGAACAAGCCATAGTTGCCTTAGTGGTAGGTCCGGCACTTAGTTGGTATCTACCATCGGCGCACGACACGTGTCAGGTCTATTAGGGTGACTTGGGACTGGTCGTGACACTTATGTTCTTCCAACAACAAATGTCAATTATGAGGGCAGCCAAAAGATACAAACATATATAAATTCGACATCTAGACAAACAGCCACAATAGTGTTCAAAGGAACACTAATTGGTGATAAAAATGCTCCAATGGTGGCATATTTTTCATCCAGAGGTCCCAGTCGAGCAAGCCCAGGAATTTTGAAGCCTGACATCATTGGACCCGGTATGAACATCCTTGCGGCATGGCCTTTCTCCGTCGAAAACATTATCAATGCAAAATACACATTCAACATTTTTTCTGAGACATCGATGTCATGTCCCCATCTGTGTGGTATTGCTGCATTGCTTAAGAGCGCACACCCGGATTGGTCTCCTGCCGCCATTAAGTCAGCAATGATGACTACTGCTCATATTGTAAATCTCAATAATGCTCCCATTGAAGACGAGAGATTCCTTCCAGTCGACATTTTTGCTGTCGGTTCTGGTCATGTCAACCCTTCCAAGGCTAATGATCCTGGGTTGATTTACGACATTGAACCTGGAGACTACATTCCCTATCTGTGTGGTCTGAAATACACAAATCGGCAGATGAGCATGATTTTACAACGTAAAGTGAATTGCTCAGATGAATCAAGTATACTGGAAGGAGAACTGAACTATCCGTCATTTTTGATTGTCTTCGGACTATCAAACCAGACGTACACGAGGATAGTGACTAATGTTGGCGAGGCCAATGCATCATACACCGTTGATATTCTTCCTCCTCATGGTGTTAATGTGGTTGTCAATCCTCGTAGTCTCCAATTCTCAGAGTTGAACCAGAAACTGAAATTCGAAGTTACGTTTAGCACATCGATACTAGTCCTCTCATAAACACTCAGGGGCATATTTTGTGGAAATCATCTACACATTCTGTTTGGAGCCCACTTAATCCGAGAATATTGTTCAAAACATTTGGACTTATGAAAAATCATTATCTTCAAATTAACTCACAACCTATTACTCATGAGAAATGTTTTCAGATTCTTTATGATACTGCAATTATTCAATTCAATCTCTACATGTCAAACTGTTTTAAAATATTAATGTTCAAAGTTGTGAGCAAATGTTTGAATCAACCCTTGGTCGATCTCTCCCCAGTTGCTAATTCAAGAAGCACGACCCAAAAACTGTAAACATCCCCTTATGGAGTGGTAAGCAATGTTCTTACACTACTGAAAAATTGATCTCCAGCAAACCGAAGCTCTCGATTTGATTTGATCATCTTGTTCACCTCTATGCATGGCTATAATACTAACATCTACAAGAATCTAAATTATATATCTCAATCTATCTTTTATTCTTTCCCCTACAATACTGGCAAGCCGATCTATGTAGAGAAAGCGGGCTTCACTGGGCTCGACCGCCTCTATTAATTTCAAATTGTATCTGGGTTGACAAAATTATTCGTGGACATGAGAAAAACAAGAAGATTCAAACAAAACTAAAAATGAAATAAAAGGAAAAATGAAATCATAAATATTAGTACTAGTAAAATAAGTAATTTCAATGCAAATAATTAAATTAATTAATAAATTCAAATAGATGTGGTAAAAATTTATGTAATAATTCATTATAAGGCCAGATAAATTGAAAACCTCTTAAGAGTTCTAATAGATGGTCAAGCCCTCAAATAAGAATAGACCTTTCTTCCCATTTCTTTATCTCCATGGACAACACAGGTGTTTCTACTCCTCCCCTCTCGATTCATAGCCTAGTCTTTTTCCTGCGCTTCCACCAGTCCACCTCCACAACAATCAGTGAACGACCCAGCTAAAATAAACAAAAGCTTATTTACAAGCTAGAGCTGGAGATATGTGCACATTTGATGCGACCTCCTCTCCGTTTGCAACTGAGATTGGCATCATCATGCGAAACATTGTTTCCCAACGCTTGACTGGTTGGAGTGCAGCAACTCCTTGTGAAAAGGAGCCATCAACCAGGGGCGGACCCATTAGTTGCCCCCACTGGGCCAAAAAAAAAATTGCCGTAAAAAAAACAAAAAAAAAAAAAAAGCCCTCCCAACCCAAGCTCGTCTTTTAAAATATTGATGAAATAAGCCCACTACCCACCCTTCCCTTCCCCCAATTCCCTTTAGTTGCCCCGAATTCAAATCCCTTTCGTTCCCCCAATTCTCCCGACTGAAGACCGGCGACTGGAACTTGAGCATTCTTCTGTAAATAAAGGTACAAGTATGACCAGTCCTATCTTTTTAGTAACTTCGCTCGTTTGTTTTATTTTTGGCTACTGGAACTTGAATTGCTACATGTTAAGAAAGGCAAATTTAGAGCGTTTTCATTTTGCCTGTTTAAATAAGACAGGTAACTCCACATTTTGCCTGTTCTTCAGATTAGTTTTGACTGGAGATTAAGCTTCATTATCTCTTATCAGACATACTGCTCTTTAAGGTTCTAGAACTTAAAATAATAACAATCAAGCAAATAATGATGCCTCATGCCTGGTAAAAATTTCAATTATAGGTTAATATTTTGTCAATGCCTTCAAACTGATAATGATTTGCTAAACATGAATAACTTGAAGAGTGGAGAAGATCTCTTTTTCTCCATGGGGATAGAAGGCTAGGAATATATTGCATTTTAAATTCTGCAGATTTAGCTATAGACATAAGGAGTCGAGGAGATGTGTATGGTGCTTTTTGCTTGGAAGATCGGCACTCCTTTTATGGCTATTAGGCTGTCACTCTTTCACTGTCTTCTTTCGCTACCCTTTTTTATTTTCCATGATTAAATTGGTCTACTTCATTTATTTTGCGAACCAGTTGTGCACTTGGCCTGTTTCTGGCACAAGTCCATTGGTGCTTTTAGTGGAATTATTTTGACCGACCCATCCACAAAAGTGTCTCTCATTTTCTTGTCACTAGTGTTGTGCAATCTTGTTGCTTTTGTTTTTCCTTTAAGGAACACCATTCCTTCCATTTTGAAAATCATTTGACCTCATCTCTAAAGATTTCTCTTCTCATGCTTCTCTTTCTCAAATTTCAGAAATATTAATGGCAAAACAAGTAAGAACGAAATTGTCGAACGTGAAGCATTTCCATTTGTAAAAAAGGTATTACATTTTGAATATTATCTTTATTGTTTAAAATTATTTTTTAATCTTGGGTCCACCCCTGCCATTAACAAAGAGGTCTAACACACCCCTTGATTTGGAGCTTCTTTGGAAGAGGAGTATCGGACCACTTGACAGCCGTATTGAGTATTTAACTAGTATTATGGTAGGCCGACAACATAATATTCGATGATACTAACAAATAAATTAAAATCTCGTTTAATATTATGTCTAGTCTATATGGCGCTGTTACATACCAAACACAACATGTTTGTAGATGCAGTATAAAGTGCTATATTTTATTTCCTTTATTTCATCATTTTAATTTATATTACATTCCTAGTATTTATTTTGTGAGATGGCGTTTTTATCCTTATATTGTCATAGATTTTTTAAGTTTAATCACTATTAACACGTAGTAATTTCTTATTTTGTTTATATATATTAATACAAAAAAAATTGGATTATTCCAAATACGCATTTTTTTGTGGTAATATATTGAATCAACAAATTTAGATTAAGGTGTTATATTTTCCAATCTAGATGTTTGTGTCGCATGATGATACCTTTGAAATCAAAATTGACGGCTTATGAAGTTCTTGTGGAAGAGATTCAGAGACGAAAAGATATCAAATAATCACAACAACAGACGCAAGTGTTGAGGCAACAAATTGCCACTTTGATCTACAACACCTTGTTCTTCACAAACTGGAACTCCAGTCAACTTCCCTCGATCTTTAGACTTTGACCACATGTAGAGGAAAGGTAATTTGGTATTTGGATTATAAGAACGATGTTTTTCTCACCACCAAGAACTGATATCAATGAATCATGAATGTTGAAAGATGAATAATAAGAATTCTCTCACAGATGAAGCTCTCACACTGTTAACCTTTGGAAAAAAAAACGTTCTGTGGCTATTTGGTATTTATAGGTAGGTTATAAAATTGATGGGCTATGGAAAAAGCCTTTAAAATGCGAAATAAATATTTTTCGAAGAAAGCTGTCCCTTGACCGAGGGCTCAGTAACCATCGAGCGACAGACTGTCGCTCGAGTGAAGTAATATTTATAGGTAGGTTATAAAACGAATGGGTCGGGAAAAAACCTTTAAATCGTAAAATAAAATTTTCTCACATAACCACATCGCTCGAGCGAGGGCTTAACGACAGCCTATTGCTCAAGCGAAGGAGGAGAGACAGTCCAACCTTATGTGAAAATCCGCGCCATTTTTCCTCATATTGTCATTATTGAACCCTAGATCTAATAACCCTATTTTCAACTATTTGTATATTACTCCTTGACTTTTTACGCACAGTATAATTCAGTCCTTTTTGTTTACAGAATTGCTAATTACAAAACATCTAAAACCTAATAATTTTGTTTGCCGAAATTTCTAGTGTACCAATTTTAAAAGTTGGCAATTTTGTTTTCTGGCACCTTTTTAATCCAAAGGATGTGTCTACGTAACATTAAAGATATGCCATAAGTTGCATGGAAAAATAAAGAGGCATTTTGATTTGGTTTTAGTTTAACACAAAGGTTGGTATAATTTCATGATATTTCATTAACTGTGTTAGGTTTTAGTTGATTTTGTAATTAACAAATTCTATGAACAAAAGAACTAAAATTGATAGATTGTAAAAGTTCAAGGAGTAATGTGCAATATGTTAAAGTTTGTTATTAGGTCTAGGGTTTCGAGTTTGGAGCAAGGAGGAAAACAGAGCGGATTTTCACTAGACTATCACCAAGGATTGGCTCGAGTTACAAAAACAGAAACTGCATCGCTAGACTGTTGCCTCTACTTCGCTCGAGCGACAACCTGTCGCTCGACCGTCGCTGAGCTATCGCTCGAGCGACAGGGTTATACAGGAATATTTTATTTTGTATTTTAAAGGTTTTTTCCTGGCCCATCTTTTTTCTACCCTACCTATAAATATTTTAAAGCCACAAAACGAGATTTCTTAAGGTTGAACATTGAGCTAACATTGTGCTTCATATTCTCTTTCAACCTTCATGTTTCTTTGATATACTGTTCTTGGTAGTGAAAAACATTAGATTCCTAATTTAAATACCAAACCATTGCTTCCCACATATCTGTCAGAGTTGTTGAAGATCGAGGAAGGTAACTGGAGTTCCAATTGGTGAAGAGCGGGTTGTTCTTCAGGTTTCACAATAAATAAACGATTCTAGAAAGCTAGGAATTGTTACAGGAGGGTATAATCCAGGAAAACTTTGAAAATTACAGCTGGAATTGATGCAGGAGCACAGAATTCAAGAGAGTTGTCAAAATTGCAGTCACAAGATCAGATAGTACGTGTCGTCGTCTAGTCTGATGGACTGTAAGTCAAGAATTGTTTATAGTGGATTGTTGACTGGTAAACTGCCTGTAGTTTTTACCCAGTTGAGATTTCTCTATGATCATTCTTGTGTTTTTACAGCTTTACTTAATGATTATATGAATTGCGGTATTTAAACATAAGATTAAATTGACTTGATTGAATAACCATTTAGAGATAATTAATTAGTGACTTGTTGCTAATTAATTAATAATTTTAATTCTGCATAAAATACCTATTCACCCCCCTCTAGGTATTGTTACGGTCGAACTGCGTATATTTCAAACTGTTTGTAATTAAATGAAAGGACACACATTTTGGAAATATTGTGCCTCCCTTTTTGTACACGGAGAAGAATTTATAGATGTCATGGATGGGGCAATTCCTATTTAACATGCAGCCCAAGCATGCACCAGATCGACATGAAA